GCCTTAGGCACACCATGTCTATGCCAACCAACAGACACCAAACTACACCAATACTATTTACCTGCACATAGTCCATAACCAACTATGCTCTGGCATTTTAAGTGCTCATCCCATTGCTTCTTGAATGTTGTTACAGTACCTGCCTCCACCCTGTCAGGCAGCACATTCTATATTTCTACCACCCTTTGTGTGAAAAAAAGCTTTTCTTCAGATCTCCTCTAAACCACCTACTCTTCATCTTTACGATTGAATGCAATTGCATTCAGGCGTAAGGTGAGTAGATAGACATTTCTGTGGTGGTAAACAAACTCCAAGATGGTACGGTACCTCCCTGATACTATTGCCAAGGAAGTCCCAAAGCAAATTTTGGAAGGGGAGGGTTAACAGCCAGTGGTTGAGGTACACATCGGTGGCAATGACATGAGTTTTACAGAGAAGGAAGTGCCAAATGCCAAATATAGCAAGTTAGGAAGCAAGCTGAAAAGTAGGACCTCAAAAGCTAGGAATCCCGGGATTACCACCAGTATCACATGCTAGTCAGAGTGAAAACAGTAGGATTTGTTAGTTGAATACATGACTAGAAAGGGAGGGTTTCAGACTCATAGGAGATTGGGACTGGTTTTGGCAGACGCGGGACCAGTACAAACTGGATGGATTACACCTGGGCAGGTCCTGGACTGATGTCTTTGAGTAAGTATTTGCTCATCTGTTTGGGGCAGGTTTAAACTAGAATTGGGGGGGTGGGCATTGGGAACCTAGGAAGGGTGATAAAGCAAAGAGAAACAAGGATGGTAATAAAAGAAATAACAGAAAAATAAAAAAATAGTAGACAGGGGTGTTGAGAGAGGAGCAAACAGGACTACAGTACAATGAAAAGTTAGGATAATTAAAAATGGCAAAAAGTAGGCCTAAAGGCTTTGATTCTTCAATGTACGAAGCATTCAGAATAAGCTAGGTGAACTAACGGTGCAAATCAAGATAATTGGAAATGATCATATGGTTATGAACGGATCAGAACTGGGAACTTAACATTCAGGGATATTTGATCTTTCAGAAAGACAGGACAGAAGGAATGAGATGGGTAGCACTGTTAAGAGATGAAGTGAGAATGGTTGAGAGATATAATCTAAGCTCAGATGATGTAGAGTCCATTTGGGTGGAGGTAAGTAACAGAAAGAGAAAGACAACACTGGTAGGAGTAGTGTATAGACCTCCAAACAATAGCTACACTGTATGGAAGGATAAAAACAAATAGTAGGAGCATGTAAAAAGAATAAGCAATAATTATGGGGGACTTTAATCTTCATGTTGATTGACCCAATCAAATTGGAAAGGGTAGCTATGACAACAAACTCAATGTACATTAGAGAAAATTTCCTAGAACAAAGTAGCATGGAGCCAACCAGGGAACAGGCTGCCCTGGATCTGGTAATGGGGAGTGAAACAGGTTAAATAAATGACCCCAGAGTAAAAGATCCCCAAGGAAGTAGTGATCATAACATGAAAGAATTTAGTATTCAGATTGAACAGGAGAAATTTGGGTCAGAAACAACTGCTTAACTTAAATAAAGGGAATAACAATAAAATGAGGGTAGCATTAGCTAAAATGGACTGGGCAAAGAGATAATCCGTAAAGACAGTAAGCAGGCAGTGACAGACATTTAAAGAGGTAATTCAAGACTCTCAGCAAAAATATATTTTAGTATGAGGAAAGTGGGAGATAAAACAAAGTTAAGGAGTGTATAAAGTTGAAAGAATAAGCATGCAAAGAAGGAAAAGTCAGTGACAGCCCCAAAGACGAGAATAAATTCAAAATCCAGCAAAGGAAGACATAAAAAAGAACAAACTGTGAAGGCAAACTAGCAGGGAATATGAAAACTGAAAATAAGAGCTTCTTTAAATATATCACAGGAAGACAGAGGTCAAAATGAACACTGGCCCCTTAGAAAATGAATCTGGGGAGATATTTATGAGGAACAAGAATGCAGAGGTGTTAAACAGATATTTTGCAATTTAAGGTTTTGGAGTAGATATTTTGCATTATTCTGCTGGAGGATACTTTGAACATCACATTTATGCTATAGAACATGGAAGAGAAATTCAGTGCGATTGCTTTCACTACAGAAGTAGTATTTGAAAAACTAATATGAGGCAGACAAGTCCCTGGCCTCAATGGCTTGCATCCTGGGATCCTAAAAGTAATGCCCAAAATAGGGGATGCATTGGTTGTAATTTTCTAAAAATCCTTGGGTTCTGTACAAGTACTGGAGGATTGGAAAACTGCCGCTACCTTATTCAAAAAGGGAGGAGGCAAAAAGTAGGTTTGTAGGCTGATTGACTTAACATCTATTGAGGAAAAATGTTGGAAGTAGTAGTAATGGTAGTACATTTGAAAAATCATAATATAATCAAGCAGAGTCAGCATGGCTTCTTGAAAGGGAAATTGCATCTGACTAACTTGAACTTTTCGAGGAAGTCTCAACCAACAGAGAATACAGAGGAATCAGGAGATGTTTTGTATTTGGGCTTCCAGAAGAGGTTCAACAAAGGACTTGGAGGAAGGAAGCAAATGTACTGTAACCAAATTTGCAGACGACAAAAATTGGTGGAAAAACAAGTTGTGAGGGGACTGTTATCAGATTACAGAGATATCAATAAGTGAATGGGCAAAAAATGTTGGCAAATGGAGTATAGTGTGGGGGAAATGTGAAGTTGTTCATTTTGAAAGAGAAGACAAATGAAGACAGTATTATTTAAATTGAGAAAAACTGCAGAAAGCTGCAATACAAAGGGACTTGGGATACCTGTGCATGAATTCACACAGGTTATGAAGAAAGCAAACTGAATTCTGGCCTTTACTTCAAGGCGAGTTGGAGTGCAAGAGTAGAAACATCTTCCTGCAACTACACAAGGTGTTGGTTAAACCACATCTGGCTACTGTGAACAGTTTTGGTCCCCTTATTGATGGAAAGATTTCATTGGAGTTCACTGGAGACAGTTCACAGAAGGCTCACTCAGATGATCTCCAGTATGGAGGGAATTGTCTTACGAACAAAAGCTAAATATGTTGGGATTCTACTCACTAGAATTTAAAAGGATGAGAGTTGATCTCATTGAAATATATAGGGTGAGGGGCCTTGACAGAGTAATTGCTGAATGTTACCCCTCACAGGACAGTTGAGGACCAGCAGGCATAATCTCTGAATAAAGGGGCCCCGATTGAAAACCGAGAGGAGAAGGAATTTATTATTTGACTGTCCAGAGTCTTTGGAGAGCTGTGCAGGCAGAGTACTTGTGTATATTTAAGGCCGAGAGCTTCTTGATCAGTGGATAAATTGAGAGTTATGGGGAAAGGGCAGGAAAATGGACATGAGAAATATCAGATCAGCCATGTTACTATTGAATGGCAGATTAGGTTTAATAGGTTGAATGACCTACTCCTATTTGTGTTTGTGTGGCCAGTCATTTCAATTTTTGATCTCCTTTATCTGAGACAATGTAAATATTAGAAGCTTACTGGTTACTCAACTGATACCTGGGATAGAGGGACCAATATCCATTGGAGTTTGGAACAATGGGAGGCAAGGTCATGGATGGATTCAAAATTCAGGCACCGGGGGCGAATGTGAACAGGTTGAAGTTGGAATGGCAGTTGAAGGTACTGCAGTGCATTCACTAGTCAGGTTTCTGGATAGCACATTTGGGATGTGGTCACTTCTTAGCTCAAGGAAGCATAGGCAAAGCATTTGAATCTTCAACAACAATAGCCAATATATTCTGAACGCACAGGAGATAATTCAACATGAACCAAACCTCCAACTTGATGTGTTGCTGTATTGCGACTGTATAGAGTCTAAATAAGGCCAAAATTATTTACTGCAGAAAATTTCTAAAAGTTTCCTAGTATTTCCAATGGCAATTCAAAATGTTTTTTCTTATTGCTTCAAGTGATCTCACTTACCTCTTGATAAAAGTACACATCCATATCCAGCAAAACATACCAAACCTAATTAAATGCATGGAATTTCAAAATCAAGAACTGCTTCCATAAATAATTTTCCAAAAGAAATTTCAAGGCATTTATTGCTGTTGCGTGGTGTTACTGCCTGACAGCACTATCATACGACTTCTGGTGGGCCTAACACTACTATGAACTTTAATTATCTGAATACTCTTTAATAAGACTGGCAGTGATCACGTTCCTATGTTTCCCAGTGGTATGTCTTGGCCACTTGCGATTTTACAGCATGGCCGGTTAAAAAGGTACAAAGGAACACATTGCGTACCGCATTAACTGGTTTCAGTGCGTCAAGATACATATGCTTCCTTGGGGGTAAAAAATCCATCATTTTCTTGTTGTGTCTAAATCTAACGGCTACCTGATCTGGTTAGGATGCTGACTTTCCAGTTAAAGTGCCTCATCATAAAAGGAACTGAATGCGAACCCCACCAAATATTAGCTATAATCGAGGTATAGAAGTGCGCCGTTTCTCCTTTACTCGACGCCGACATAAACAGACTCCCATATCAAGGCAGCGCATGGGGCTTAGAACCATGGAACGATGCCGTTTCGGAGGTTCTTTTCCAGTTAAACGGTTTTGAGTTCAGTTGCACAGCGCGCGCCGGCGGGAACCGGCCCCAAACCCTTTATTCGACTCACTCGCGCTCGAGACTGGGCAATGGGGTTAAGGCATATATGCGCATACCTAATCCACTCTTAGAGACCCAAAATTACAGGTTGAGGAATTTACGTCTTCATGCCCCCACCTGGGGGCGGGGCGTGGCGGCTGTTGTCGAACTAAAATTGACGCCAGCCTGGAGCCACCGGTTCACTTTTCCGATGTGTCAACGTAATCGCGGGAAAAACTGAAAACTAAAAATTTAAAACATTGGACTGGTGCTCCACAGTACATCAAAACACAACGAACAGAATTTATATCCTGGCAGTTGTGCAGTCAGTAATTTATCGATCAGCTCGAAATGAAATTAAAAAAACAAACCAAACTAAACTTTATATGCTGTTTCCGTCACCACGTTCTTGTACTTGTTCTTGCCCAACCTGAACTTCTTTACGCGACAGCTCTGAAAATATCACCTGCTACGTCTTCCACCCGCGGGTGTTTCCCAAAACAGCGCAAAAAAAACTGCGTGACGTCATCAACAGACTGTTCCCTCCTTACACGAGGCGAGGGAGAAAGGGGGGCAATGTGAAATTGGCGAATATGCAGTTTCCGATTGACAAGCTACTCGACCAATAATAGCTGTGGATTTTGCAATTCCCAAGACAGCCAATCGACGGGCGGAATCACGCAGCGCAGTGTTGAATTTTGCGCTTGGGAAACGAAACAAAGGGCTGTAAACAGATAATTCTTTAATGGGATGTGGGCATTGCTGGCAAGGTAAGCATTTGTTGTTCATTGCTGTTGAACTGAGTGACTTGCTCGGCCGCTTTAGAGGCCAGTTAAAAGTCATTAAACTGTTGTGGGCCTGGAGTTATATGTAGGCCAGCGTGGACAAGGATTCCAATCCCAAAAGGACATTAGTGAACCAGATGGGTTTTTAGGACAATGATAATAGATTCATGGTCACCATTCCTGAGACTGGCTTTCAACTCCTCAGTTTATCAATTGAATTTAAATTCCATCAGCTGACTTGACCGGGTTTCAGTCCAGGTCTCCAGTGCATTAGCGTGGGTTGAAGTCCAGTGACATTATCATGACACCATCATCTCCTCACACTGAGATATAAACAAAAAAAAGCACACAGGGGGCAAGGGTCAAAGATTGTTATTCTGAGATGATTGAGAGATTAAATTTGATTTATAGCCATTTTGTTGCAAATCTAGTGCATAATTGTTTTTCCTAGGCACTGGTTAGCTTAACATGTAAAATCAAAATGTGCAGGTAGATGAGGTTATTGTTTTGGTCGCCAAGCTGGCTTGTTTTTGTTCAGATGTTTTGCCACCATGCTAGGTGACATCATCAGTGGAGCCTCTGATGAACTGATTTATTCAATGCCAAGCGGAGTAGAATAACATCGTTTCATCAGCGGTTCCACTGATGATGTCACCTAGCATAGTGACAAAACGTCTGAACAAAAACAATACAGCTCGGTGAGCAAGTCAACAACCTCATCCACAAACCAAGCTACAGATCTTTGCCAATACTTTAAATGTGCAGGTAGAATTTGCATTGTCCTTAGCTGCTGGAGGGCTGCATTGTTCTTCAAAAGGGCCTGGACCTTTTGTCACTATTCAGTTAGATCCTAGCTGACCTACACTTCAGTTCTGAGGCCTGGATGTTTGATCAATAATAGTAACTAACAACTGTTGGTGCTTCTTACTATTATTACTCCTCTAAAACTGACAGCATTTCTGTAGTTCGATCATATGCATTTACATGCAGAAGCTGCTGTCACTTAAGGGGCAGCCCTCAATTTACCTAGAATCAGACTCATGAAGGCACAGATTGAGGAAATTCAAATGATAAAGTTCATAACGGTATCACAAACCAGTCAGTTTCCTTCCCCAGCTTTAAATTGGTAGCCCTCAAAGTCTATTTTCAAGTACCCACTTAATTTCCTTTCATAATTATTCATCACCATCTTTACCATCATGGAGACTGCACTGCTCTAAATTTTCATTCTCCTAAAAAGGTTTTTCTGCACATCTCTCCACCTCCCCTTCCCTTAGTTCTTGTACCATTGCAAAATGGGACTAAGACAATACAGTGTTGAGCTGGAGGAACCCAGCAGGCCAGGCAGCATCAGAGGAGCAGGAAAGTTGATGTTTCAGTTCAGGATCCTTTTTCAGAAATGGGAGGGGGAATGGAGCTGGGAAATAAAGAGAGAGGAGGGGTGGAGCTGGGGAAGGTAGTTGGAATGGTGATAGGTGAATGCAGGTAGAGGTTGGTGGGGAGTGGCCAGTGGGCTGGGTGGGGTGGATAGGTAGGGGAGAAGATGGACAGGTTGTGTCAGGTCAAGGAGGTGGGGATGAGAGGGAGGGTTGGACTTTGGATGAGGCCAGGAGTGGGGAGACTTTAAAACTGGTGAATTGTATGTTTAGGCCATCGGTGGAAAATGAGGTGTTGCACCTCCAGTTTGTAGTGTCATTGTGACACTTGAGGAGACCCAGGATGAACATGTCACCCAGGGAGTGGCAGGGGGAAGTTAAACTGGTTGGTGACCGGAAGATATTATCGCTTGTCGTGTACAGAGTGCAGATGCTGTATGAAACAGTCTCTGAGTCTATGCTTGGTCTCACCAATGTAGAGGAGGCCACATCGAGAGAAATGGATACAGTAGACCAAATTGGCAGATGTACAGGTGAACCCCTGTCTGATATGAAAGGTTTGCTTTGGGCCTTAAATGAGGTGAGGGGGGAGGTGTAGGAGAGCAAGTCAACAACCTCATCCACAACCCAAGCCACAGATATTTGCCAATGCCCGTCCATCTTCTCTCCCACCTATCTGCACCACCCATCCCACTAACCAATCCCCACCACCCCCTACCTGCACTCACCTGTCACCATCCCACCTACCGTCCTCAGTCCCAACCCTCCTCTCTATTTATTTCCCAGCTCCCTTCCCCCTCCCCATTTCTGAACAAGGGTCCTGACCCGAAATGTCAACTCTCCTGCTCCTCTAATGCTGCCCGGCCTGATGTGTTCCTCCAGCTCCACACTGTATTGTCACTAACGCCAGCATCTGCAGTTCTTGCTATCTCAAAATGGGAGTGAAATTGTCAAAATCTTATATACCTCTAACATTGTTTCTTGTACAGTCTAAAACATAGAAAAATGCTTTTCAGCCCATCAAGTCTGTGTCAGTTAAAACAAACACCTAACTGTTCTAATCACATTTTCCAGTACAGGGCATATAGCCTTGTATGCCTTTGCATTGCAAGTGCACATCTAACTGCTCCTTAAATGTTGTGAGGGTTTCTGCCTCTACCATTCTTACAGACAGTGAGTTGCAGATTCCTGTAACCCTCTTGGTGGAAGTGTGTTGCCATACAACCCTTCTAAACCTCCTGCAATTTATCTTAAATCTATACCTCCTGATCATTGATCCCTTCACCAAGTGGAAATGTTTCTTCCAATCTACCCTGCTGTGTCCATCATTATTTTATACATCTGAACCATGTACCCCCTCAGTGTCCCTGTTCTAAGGAAAACAATCCTGGTCTATCCAATCTCTCTTCACAATTAAACCTCTCAAATATCCTCTGCAGCCTCTCCAATCACATCCCTCCTATAATATGCATTCCAGAACTGCATACAATACTCCACCTTTCGCCTAAACCACATTTTGTACATTTCAGCATCACCTCCCTGTTCTTAAACACAATGACAGAGCTAAGAAAGGCAAGTATTCTGGTGATTATAACAAGGTTAGCAGGTGAACCTCATAGAATGAATTCCCTGATTGGGACTGTTATTCTGGTCCAATCAGGAGCCCTGGCTTACAGATATAAACTGGAATTTCAGCAGCTCTCTTTAGTCTGAGGAAGTTGAATGTGTGTCAGGGATATTCTGATGTAAATAAAGGGTGACTTGGTGATGGGATACTGGCCTCTGTGCAGTTATTTTTGTAGTGATGAAAGAAAAGGAAGCTACTGAAAACATGTCTTGCAACAGTCACCTTTGAGTTGGGGTAAGTATTTCTGGCATCATGCTGCTATTTGGGAAACTTGACTTGTTCTATCTTGTTGTTGAAGTTTGGGGCCAGTATTTAGAAAAAAAGTTTTGTTTTTTTTTTCTTGGCAAATGATGTTGGGGCAGCTGAAAAGCAATGAGTAATTCTCCTGACAACTTGTAGGCTTGGCTTGCAGCTTTTCTTGGTTAATAGGAACCTAACTTTCCCTGAGGTACAAGATACTAAAACCTTTCAATAGTTGATGGAGATAGCTAAGGAATATAACTACCTTTTAAAGGTTAAGGTGACTGGCAGAGGCATGTGACTTAGGTTTAACTTTTAATGAGATGCTCAGACTGTTTGTTTGGTATGCGGAATTAATGATGTAAACACACAAGTACCTAGCAGCTGAAGCCTAAATGGACTTCAGACAAGTACTATGACTGGCTTTGCCACTGGAAAATGCAGCAGTGGAGCATATGACTTGCAGGGTATTCTGATAGAAGTGGATATCCTCACTAGCCTGACTGGTGTTGGGGAACACCAATTGGGTGAAGGCTCACTCAGGACCTGTCCTGACTAGAGGGTCTCTTGGTCAGCCCATAGCAATACCCCAAAACTGAGCCAAGCTGTGGCCAAGCAGTTAAATTTTCTTCAGGATCCTGGTTGGCAAACCATTGTAGTTGCTTCTGGTATGCAGACTTGAGACTGCAAAAGAGACCCACTAGAGTTAAATTGACTAAGACGATTCATACACTCGTATCCAGAAGAGTTCAAATCCTGGAAAGTTCCCCTGTATCAGGTTTGGATCAGTTAAATTGCTCAGCAACATCCAAATCTGAACTAATCAAAGGAAACATATGGTCACCTGGTTCTAATGGAGGTAATACCAGTATGGTTTGCACAAGACCTTGGCTAGATTGAGAACCTATACAGGGGAAACTTTACAGATTTAGGGTACAACTTTGGTTCTGGTCCATAAATAGGAAAGGCCCCAACACTCTGGAACCCCTCTGGACACATGCTTCCTGTCACAATGACACTGATTAAGCATTCCCCTCTGCTGCCTTGTTTCCAATGTAACAATAGATTACATAACATAAGAACTAGAAGCAGGAGTAGGCTGTCTGGCCCTTTGAGCCTGCTCTGCCATTCAATAAGATCATGGCTGATCTCTTCATGGACTCATCCACTTACCTGTGTTCTCACCATATTCCTTAATTCCTTTTGTTCAAAAAAAATCTACCTTACCTTTAAAAATGTTTACTGAAGTAGTGTCAACTACTTCACTGGGCAAGGAATTCCATAGATTAACAACCCTCTGGGTGAAGTTCCTTCTCAATTCAGTCCTAAATCTGCTCCCTCTAATCTTGAGGCTATGCCCTCTTGTCCTAGCTTCACCTGCCAGTGGAAACATCCTCTCTACTTCTATGTTATCTATTCCCTGCATAACTTTATCTTTTTAAGATTTCCCCCCTCAATCTTCTGAATTCCAATGAATATAATCCCAACCTACTCAGTCT